AAGAGATCCAGAACCAAAAAGGGCCGATCCCCCAGAGGGTCCTCACCTATATCCTGGGCATGACGTGTATGTTATGGAATAGATTATTGGCCACTCTGGGTCTCAATCCTGAACCTAAGATCAAATCCTGGGCTAGTAACTGGGGCTGTGCTCCCTCCCAGCTTCTACTGTTTGCGGACAGCCAGAGAAGCTGAAAGACCTTGGCAGCTGCATAAACATCACCCTTTATCAGCTTTCTTCTGAGCACAAATCCAAAACACAGCCTCTTGCTAGCTGTTATGAAGAAAGTTAACTCTGTCTCAGCTTAACTCAGGACAGGGCCACACACATTTTTACGCTTGTGCTCTTTCAGGGTATCGTTGTGAGCTCTGAGCTTGATTTCTGACTTTACCCCTCTCCTCTCACTCCTTTTTGTCACTCAGTTTATTTTCCTCATTGGAGAGTTGTTCTTTCCAGCAGCATCAGTCCTGCTTCAGGCATTTGGGGTGTTCCCAAATCCCATCAAGCCAAGCTTCAGCAGATGAGGAACAAGCAGATTCCTGGAGGCTCAGGATCTCCATTGCCTGCAGCCATACAGCCCTGCCTACATCTCTTGGCCTTTTGCTTTCTGATGGCTTTCATGCTTTTGTGGTATTATTCTAGCAGTCCAGATCTTTTCAACCCCATCTCTGTACAATGAATTTTTGTTTTGTCTGAGTTATGTTCTCTTTCCCCCCATGATTTAATTTCACAAAGCCAACAACCTCATTCAACTAGAGTTGTATTTGAGCTGTGCTGTTTTCTGTGTTGTGTCAGCAGGGGATGGAAAATGTTGTTCTTGACCGTTAACTGTTGAATTGTGGGTCTAAACATATTTCTCTTTACTGTAGTTGCTAAACAAACCGGAAAACTGCTGTGGACTTAAGGAAAGTCAAATACTTTCTCTGCTTAGCGACATTGGTATGTCTAATCCCTTTCTTGTGTTTTGGTTTTAGGGTTGTTTTTTTTTTAATGATGTGTGATGGCGTTTTGCTTTTTCAGCTGACCTTGAAAGGGGGACTAATGAGAACAGGGTATTGAAGCAAATCAGGTTTCTGTTCCAGAGGAAGGACTTGGTATCCCTGCTGATCAGAGAACCGAGAAGCTTGCACTATTGAAGTGTCTGTGGAATGGGATTGGAAAAGCTGTGTAGTGGTCAGTTGTAGGTAATCATGACCTTAACGTTTTGTTTTTGTTCAGGTCATGGTTTTCCATTCAAACCCCATTTCTGTTCATGGCTCTGGAGGTGACAAACTGCACGTCACTTGAAGAAATGTAATGTTTACAAGCCAAAAAGCAAGAACCAATGTGAGAAGTGTCAAAGGTGCCCTGGGGCTTCTCTGTGTAGGGTTTGTCTAGTAGGAGGGAGATTTTGTTTGTTCAGGGTGACAGTACAGAGGAGATGATAAACTGGACTGGAGCTGAGAGCAAGTTAGGTGAGAGCATAGCAGAAGAGGAAGCCAACAAAGCCGTGGTTAGTCCAGCAATCTTCTGGCTAATGACTTGCTTTCAGCTGAGGGTTAATTAAGTGCACAATCCAAAGTAAGTATTCCTAAATGTTGAGAAGATCCACATTTTGGAAGAGCAGTTCTGTTGGTCTGTGTTAGAGTTGTGTCTGGCACAGTGACGGAGGTGGTTTTCTCCTTTACTCAGCACTGGGGAGGTTACATCTGGATACAGTTGTGCACTCCAGCTCACCTCCCATCCAAGGAGAAGCTGAGAGAGTTGGGGTTGTTCAGCCTGGAGAAGAGAAGTCTCCGGGGAGACCTTACAGCACCTTCCAGTGCTGAAAAGGGGGCTACAGGAGAGATGGGGGGGCTCTTCATCAGGGGGTGGAGGGATAGGATGAAGGCGAATGGTTTTAAGCTGAAACAGGGTAGATCTAGGTTAGCTATGAGGAAGAAATGTTTTCCTGTGCGGGTGGTGAGGCACTGGAACAGGTTGCCCAGAGAATCTGTGGATGCCCCATCCCTGGAGGTGTTCAAGGCCAGGCTGGATGAGTCTTTGAGCAACCTGGGCTAGTGGAGGGGGTCCATGCCCATGACAGGGGGATTGGAACTGGGTGATCTTTAAGATCCCTTCAACCCAAACCATTCCAATGTTCTGACTCTATCTGTGTCACAGGTGTCTGATATCATATGGATTTCAGATTCTGCAGTTTGGAAAGGGAGCAGGAAGCAAATCTGTACAGGAACAATTTGATTTGATACCTTTGGGTTTCTGCTTTAAAGCCATTTCCCAAGGCTGTTGTAATCCATGGAAATAATTCCGTGACACAAACTAGATGGTCTCCAGAAGTGTTTCATTAAATATCTCATTTCTCAAACTGTTGAGCTTTAGCTTGCTTCATGCCAGATTCTTAACTACTGAGAGCACTGTAAGAAAATAAAAAATGTGAGACTTCAAACTGGCCTTCCTGTCCATCAGGAAGTGCCCAGCTCCTTCGACACCCCAGGGAGGACAAGTCATCTGATGGAGGCTGATGCCTACGGGTGGTTCCTCTGGCAAGTGGGCTTTCCAGGAGAGCTCCTCAGTAGAGTTCCTTGGTTTTTTAGTTCTCTTACAGGTAATCTGTCTCTGCTTATCGGAATGGACCTGGTTTTGGCATGAGAAAGCATTTTGGATGTTTTGGCCTGGGCTTCTGTCCTTTCAGATCTTAGAGGGTTTGCAGTTGAGGTCCCAAAGTCAAGCCTAACTCTGTGTTCCTTCGTCCTGGTTCCCCTTGCAGCTGCAGAACAGAGTCTGTTATCTTCCTAAGTTGAATGTCTTTGTGTGTCTTTGGCAAAGGTTTGAAAATGCAGTGGAGAAAAAATGCAAGTTAGAAGCTGTTAAATGTATAAATGATTGGTAAATCAGTGTAGGCTGGGGACTTGCTCCCTGATGGGAGTGAATGTTTGAACTGTGGACAAGGCACGTTAGTTGAATATTTATTTTAAAATAATCCTGTGAAGAAATTACAGTCACGGCTGGTTAGAATTAGGCTTTACACAGTGTGCAGTCAGAATATCTTTTTGCTTAGGAACATTTAAAATATTCTATGACGGAGATGAGAAAATACAACACTTGCCTTGGGCAATGTTGGATGTTTCCTTTTATTTCCGCTTGCACATCTCCAAGATTGAAAAATCATGACTTAGCAAAAGATGCCTTTTTGTTTGTTTGTTTTGTCTGTGTCCTGTGGCGGACGCTTGTTTGCTAATCTTTTGTTTAGCAGCCAGTGTTGTTATTTGGTTGGACCAGTAGTGAATTTTCCCCTTCCCCGCAGGCAGCATTTCTCTTGTTTCTTTTTTGTTAGTGGCTCCACAGTCCCCTCAAGGCAGTTCATATGTGGACCGTTACCGGAAAGTCCTGCTCCTTGCCTTTTCTTGGGTGTGTGCTCTTATTCCCTCCCCTATTGCAGCCACTCCTGTACTCAGGTGAGGAGCAGGTTCTGGAAGCGAGCCTGGCTAAAACCTGATTTTTTTTTTTTCTTAGTAGTTTCCAGCTGGATTGGTCCAAGGATCAAGCTGATTGTGTAGTGCCATAAATGCTTGTGCTGCCATGGAAAGGAGAACTTGGGAACCTGTGTTCCATCTACACCCACGTAGACTGGTTTGAAGCAATTGTGGAATTTCATTGTTAATGGTGGGACAGAAGTGGGGCTACTTTGAGCACACCAAAGAGGGAAAACCTTGAGCCCCTAAGCTTGGTGCTGCTAATACTGACCAGGGCATTTCTCTCAGCTGCTCCATGCGGTGTTAACCAGAGGCTGTTCAGGAAGCAGTTTTTAGCTTCAGCCATGCTTCTGCTTCATCGCAGCTGGATGGTCCCTTCCCTGATGGGCTGGTTTGTGTTGTGGCAAAGGTGGAAGCTCACTAGAAGGTCTCTAAGCTACTGTTTGGCAGTAGTTTTAGGTGAAAGGGAAACAGCTTGTTTCATTTGCTTAATTCAGTGCTTTCTTTCATGAGCATCTTGCATGATGTGCTCACATATATAAATAGGTCTTTTTTTTACCTTGTGTTGGTTTACCAAGATCTTAGGCTCGAGGATACACAGAGCTGTTTGAAACTGCCTGCATGTTTTGGAGACTTGTTTTGCTTGTCTGTGTGCTGTGGTTCATTTTGTTACTCTACAGTTTGAGAAGAATTCAGCTGCCTTATCCCTTGCCTTAAAGGCAAGAGATGTGACCAGTGGTTATGCCGCAAGGTCTGAACTCTGTAGCAGCCTCCCTTTCTACAGAGCAGAGGAGCAGAGCTAGTTCGGTCTTAGCATAAATCTGATAAATCTCTGAAGTCAATAGTTCTTAATGGTGCTTTAAAAATACAATTTTTTGATGTCAACCCCAAAGTCAGGGATATTAGTTTTATCAGATGTATCTTTAATCGGTGTGAGTTTATTTTCTTCTAAATCAAACGCATGTCTTTCAGGGTCTGGTGTCCAGTATTTGCATGAAAACAGAATTGTACACAGAGATTTAAAGCCGGAAAATATTGTTCTTCAGGATGAAGGTGGGAAGGTAAGTCAGGTAGCCTCTGTAAGTGGTGTTCCCCAAGTTGTCAGCAACTTTGTCTGGCCTGAGAGAAATAAGAGAACAAGTGGTTTGTGGCATTGAACTGGGCTGAAAACTCAACTGTGAATTTACTGAAAGCTTACGTCTTCCTGAAGCCACAAATGCTATTTTGCTTATTCTTAAATCCTTGTCATTAAAAGCAAACAACTTTTGTTTCCATTCAAGAACTCTGTGTGCAACAGAATATGAGTGATACAAGATTGTTGCATATCCGTCTGTGGCTTTGAAGACTGCATGTAAAATCGGGCTAGTTCAGAGAGTCAGTTAATGGATTTTGTGGTGAAAATGGTTTTCTCTATTGTTATTCTTTAAACAAATAACTTTAAATTCCCAGATAAAAAGCTAGATACTCTGGTTGGCCAAGCTATAACTGGCAAGCTGCTTTAAATAAAGTTGAGTCTAAGTTGAGATAGTTGGACAGCGCCAGCTTCTGTGGTGAAACAGCAAGGCTTAACACTGTGTCAAATGTCAAAGCTTCACCATGGACTTTCTCTAGAGTTTGCATTCTGGCTTTCCTCTTCTTGAGTGTATGCTGTGGATGTTACTGCAGAGTCTGGGTTGTTTGGTGGCTTGTTTTGTTTTTGTTTTTTTTTCTTTGAATTTGCTCTTTTGATGAACTATTTAAACTGTCTACAGATTGTTCACAAAATAATAGACCTGGGATATGCAAAGGATCTGGATCAAGGAAGTTTATGCACTTCATTTGTTGGAACGTTACAATATTTGGTAGGATTTTTTTTTTCATATATACAAGTGATGTGGTATTGCCACATTTTATAGAATCGCAAAAGTGTGTGTTAGAAGGAACCTACAGAGTCCCTTGTCCATCCTCCCACTCTCAGCAGGACTGTCACCAGCACTAGCACAGGGCAGCCATGGCTTGGCTCAGCCAAGCTCTGAAACCTCTGAAAACGGAGATCCCTTCCTGGGGACCTGTCCTGAGGGTGTTCCCTTTCCAGGGGAACAAGGGTTTCCTTTCATCCAACCTGAAGCCTACAGATGGTGATCTGTGGCTGTTGCCCCTCATTGTATAACCTGTCGCTTCCAAGATGAGTCTGGCCCCGTCCGTCCCCTCTGTCCCTTCGTGTGCTGCGGTTGGGGGCTGCTCTCAGACGCTCCCTCCAACCTCCCCGCAGCCAAACCCAACAAGCCCAGCTCCCTCCCGTCTCCTCATGGGTCACGTGCTCCAGGTCCTGACCCACCAGGCAACCTAAGTGGGGCCGTCTCAGGGTCCCCATGCTGCTCTAGAACTGGGGTCACGTCTAGACACAGCTTTATCTCTGTGAGAAAATAGATGACCTGAAATACCCCTTCCAAAGTATCTTTTTTATGGTCCTTTTTAGGCTCCGGAGCTCTTTGAGAATAAATCCTACTCGGTTACTGTTGATTACTGGAGTTTTGGAACAATGGTGTTTGAATGCATTGCAGGATTTAGACCTTTCTTACACAATCTACAGCCATTTACCTGGTAAGACACTTATGCTGCAAGCGGTGATGCCAGGCAATAGGAGTGACAGCTACTGCGTGTGGAGAGGTGACAGTGTAAACCAGAATGATGTATTTATTGGTAATTAGTTGCTGAGGCGGGTGCCCTGCTAAGCTTTGCAGAAGCCATTGACACTTTAGTAGTATCAATGACAGTTTGGCTATTTAGCAAGTATCATAGTACCTGCATGTTACATTGTATCTGTTACATTGTATCGTAGCCTCTGGTCATAATAATTCATTCACAGCTGAAATTTGAATCACAAAGTAAATAACCAGTCTGTATCAGTGTCAGAAAAAATGTATGATACAGTTCTTTGTTCATCTAGGCTGTGAGGTTATTTATTTTTATCAATAAATAACACACAGCAAGACAGAGCATGTTTTGTGTAGTAAACATGTAGTTATGTGTTTGTAAGTCACTTCACAGAAGTGATGAGTGAAAGACTTTAACCTGCATATGGAGGTTTCTGCTTGCTCTTTAAGGGCTAGAAGGAGGGACAGAAATATAAATTTTTATATTTCCACTTCTTACCTTACAATACCAGGGGTATTTATAAGCTTGGTTTTTAAAAGGGTGATTCTGCAAAGGAAAAACATGAAACTTGCTTTTCTGTTAGTGTTGAAATAATGCCAGGAGAAAAGGTGAATATGAGGCTTTTATGCAAGTGTTAGCTTAAAAAATTATCTGCTAACAAAAAATCATTTTAACCAATATGTTGCAATAGTTTCCCTTTTATCTGCTAATTCTTGGAATCTTATATTTTAGTAGTTCAGTATTTGTTGCATATTTTCCAATTTTATTTGCTCATGTAAGAAGTAGAAAATGAACGAAGGAATGAGTTTAGAAACAGCTCTTCCCTACCCAGAAAATGAAGAGAACAGTGCAGGCCACATGCCTGTAACTTCAGTTCCAGCTGGGGCTGGCTGGGAAGGAGAGCAGGCTGGCAGCCTCCGGGAGCAAGCAGCATTCAGCTGGCTCACAGCTGATGACTGCTGTCGACTTGCCCTGGGACATGCTGCTGCTCTGGGAGCAGCTAAGCTCTAGGCAAGGTTCACAGCAGTGCTGAAGTGAGGCAAGGTGAGGAAACTGAGGCAGTGTTGCTGGTGATGCTTTCCCTGGTGCTGGATCTAGTAGCATCCTGTGTTTCTAACACTTATTGTATGTTTCACTCGGATCAAGGTAAAGGCAGCTGTTTTGCCAGATAACTCTTGCAAATCTTATCTGTCTCAATGTGTGGAGGCTGATTTTGTTCATATCATAGAATTACAGAATGGTTTGGGTTGGAAGGGGCCTTAAAGCTCATCCAGTTCCACCCCCTCGCCATGGGCAGGGACACCTCCCACTAGCCCAGGTGGCTCAAAGCCTCATCCAGCCTGGCCTTGGACCCCTCCAGGGATGGGGCATCCACAGCTTCTCTGGGCAACCTGGGCCACTGCCTCACCACCCGCACAGGAAAACATTTCTTCCAAGTATCACCATCTCCCCTCTTTCAGCTTAAAACCATCAACGCTCATTCTGTTATTCCACCGCCGATCAAGAGTGCCTCCCCATCTCTCCTGTAGCCCCCTTTCAGTACTGGAAGGTGCTGTAAGATCTTCGCGGAGCCTTTTCTTCTCCAGGCTGTACACCCTGATCTCTCTCAGCCTGTCCTCGGATGGGAGGTGCTCCAGCCCTCTGACCATCTTCATGGCCTCCACCGGACTTGCTCCAATAAGTTGTTGTGCAGGCTTGCTCTGTGGTCAGTTTGCTGTTGACCGTCTTGTTTGACACTGTCCAGACCTCCTTGCAAGCAGGTACAAAAATGTTTCCAGAGACAGTTAATTGCAAGGGCTCCCCTCTTCCATTCGGAGATGTTCTGGATGGATCATTTGGAAATGCTGTCTTTGTCCTGAAAGAAGAGTTTGTTTTCTAAAGCTGCTAGACTGTGTCACTTTTTGCCGCTGATATATTCAATTGGCCCTGTACAAAAGTAACATTGTCAGTATATCCACAAAAGATTTTATTTTCTAGGCATGAAAAAATCAAGAAGAAGGATCCAAAGCACATCTTTGCATCTGAAGAGATGAACGGAGAAGTTCGCTTCAGTACTCATTTGCCACAGCCTCACAGCCTCTGTGGGTAAGTGTATCCTTGTGGCTACGTGTGATAGTTTTTGGCTTGTCTTTTAAACTGAGGGCTCCTCCTCCTTTATCCTAAGCACGGAGAGGGCCTCCTCCTTTCTCCTAAGCAGTGTTTTAAGCTCCTAGGAAGCTACCGTTTGCTGTTAAGGAATAGCCCGTAGCCACATGATTCTTTTTTGATATTCCAGGCTCTCTAATGGCAATTCACTCTGCTGTTGGTGGGATGATGGCAGTTTTTCTTGCAGTATGAACTCTGTGACTGCTTTCTACCCATTATCCCCAGGCCACTGAGTAACATCTACACAATAGCTTGATGGTATTGAGTCTCATAAACCAAGTACTTGAGTTAGCTGCTGCACGAAAGCAGAAGCTTCTAGTACTTGTGTTGGGAAAACTGCTTCAAGTCCAGCAGAGGCCACAAAGATGATCAGAGACTGTAGAATAGAGCATAAGAGGAGAGGGCCATGAAGCTGAGCCTCTTCAGTCTGGTGAAGAGAAGGCAAAGGGGGATCTAATTTTGTCTTCTACTGTCTGTTAGGTCATTACATAGACAACAGATCTAGGCTCGTCTCAGAGGGACAAAGCAAAAGGACAGAAGGCAATGGCACAAGTTGCAACAAGGAAGATTAAACGTGGACAGAGGAAAAAGGTTTTCCTGTGCTAGCAATGCATCCCTGGAACAGAGCTCTGAGCAGTGGGGGATCTCCATCTGCGGAGACTGCTCAGGCTTGCTTGAACACAGTCCTGTGCCATTGGCCCTCCCGTGCGCTAGGGCTCAGACCGAGGGCCTCCAACCTGAATTAACTGGTCTGTACCAAGTCAGAAGTCAGACTCTGGTTAGTTTGTCACTTCCTTAGCACTTGTCTCTTTAGATGTGTCTGGCAGTGTAGCACAACTCATCGGCGCTGGCACTTTTCTAGGAAAAGTACTGGAGTTGAGGATAAGTAGCTTTGTGCCAGTGCTTTGGGCTTTTTGCACTGTGTACTGTCTTTAAAGTCTTTGTTGACAATAAACTTACCTGCTGCTCATGGGTACAAATGTGGAGGAAAACCTTCCAGTGCAGCATGGGGATGGTTATTCTGCAGACCAGGCTTTGACAACTTTGACAAAGCCTCATCCAGCCTGGCCTTGAACACCTCCAGGGATGGAGTATCCACAGCTTCCCTGGGCAACCTGTTCCACTGCCTCACCACCCTCACAGTGAAAAATTTCTTCCTGATGTCTAGTCTAAATCTACCCTCTTTCAGTTTATACCCGTTAACCCTTGTCCTATCTCTACACCCCCTGATAAAGAGTGCCTCCCCATCTCTCCTGTAGGCCCCCTTTAGGTACCGGTCCCCAGAGCCTTCTCCAGGCTGAACAACCCCAATTCTCTCAGCCTGTCCTCATAGGGGAGGTGCTCCAGCCCTCTGACCATCTTTGTGGCCTCCTCTGGACTCTCTCCAACAGGTCCAGGTCTTTTCTATGTTGGGGGCCCCACATCTGAACACAGTACTCCAGGTGGGGTCTCACGAGAGCAGAGTGGAGGGGGGAGAATCACCTCCTTCGACCTGCTGCTAATCCTTCTTTTGATGCAGGACACAGTTGGCTTTCTGGGCTGCAAGCGCACACTGCCAACATTGCATATGGACTCTAACCAAAGAGTCGTAACCTTATTGTTCTTGTGAGACCCTAGTTTCCTAAGTGGACTGAGTGTTGTAGAATATCCGCCTTCTCTTTCTTACAGCCCTTCTGTTTCAGTTTAATTGTAGAACCCATGGAAAATTGGTTGCAACTGATGCTGAATTGGGATCCACAGCAGAGGGGTGGAGGTTTAGATCCTGAGACCGGTCGTCCAAAGTGTTTCCTAAAAATGGATCACATACTGAATTTGAAGGTGAGTGAGGGTTGTTGCTGGGTTTAAACGTCTACTGAAAGCATCTGAGAGGACAGAAAGTTTGTTCAGTAGAGTACAGCTATAGTCTTGGCATCATCCAGCTGGAAGTAAGCGTATATCCAATCTGTCCAGTACATATCTGAATGCAAAAATATCACCAGCAATATTAATCTCTAGCTTTACACTTGTAGTAGAAGGATGACCCCGTATTACTGTCTGTCATCTCAAAAAGGACTCGCTAAGATTAAATAATGGTTTAATATTTGCATATGACAGTTTTCCTAAACTCCACTAATGATGCTGTGACCTCCAGGTCCATGTACTATAGTAGTAGCTGTAGTAGAACAGAGATTACATTCTCCTGATTCTTCCCCTTCAAGGAATTACTGGAGCTTTGCTGGAGTAAGACTAGCTGAGGCAAGCATGTGTAGAAGCCAGCTGATAATTTTGACTAATTTTGAAGGATTCCAATGGAATTAAAGCCCAAAACACAAAATATTGTGCCCGTAATTGTGACTTTTCAAAATCCGTATATCATGGTGTGGTCTGGGTCCTACAGTCCCTGCCCAGATATAGTAAAACTAGAGAGAGGGCCATAGAGCGGTGAGAAGACAAGCGCTGGTATGTAACAGCTTTTTTGTGTGGAGAGATTAAAGGAAATGGGGCTCTCCTTGTTGGGAGCAGTCCTGGCCAGCATCAGGGACAGCAAGGCTCAAGATGGCATTTGTGCTAGCTTGTCACTGTTCTTTTGATGTAATGAAGCTGCAGCATGGTTTGTGAAGGCTATTAGTGGGCATGATTTTCATTTTCTCTGGCATTAAGTTAAAAGTTACAGACCCAGGCTTTGAGTTTCATTATGTGGGGCTTTACTGCTGAACTTGATTGTCGTAGTTATTAAACTCAAACGAGCTCTCAGTCTAATACGTTAATTGCTACATACTCCCTCCCAGGCCTTTGTGTCCTTTGTCTCTGATAGCCAGTGACTTGTAATCAATTTGTACTCTTTTTACAGATAGTACATATCCTAAATATGACCTCTGCCAAGATTGTTTCATTTCTCTTGGATCCCGATGAAAGCTTTCACTCCCTTCAGAATCGTATTGAATATGAAACTGGCATAAGTACAGGAAATCAGGAACTGCTGTTGGAAACAGGGATTTGCCTGGATCCTCGGAAACCTGCTTCCCAGTGTGTTATTGATGGAGTAGTAAGAGTGATTCAGTTTGTTTAATGTCTTTCACATTCTCAGGGAATTTAAAATCTTAAGGAAGATAAATTGCCTCAATCTTCTCCCACTGGAGACAGGTTGTAAGGGTAGTAACTCTTAAGGTCTAGCATTATTTCCTTTATCAGGTAATGTAAGCAGATTTTCTATAATTATACTCTGTCTAAATATTTAAGTAAAGTAGCTTGCTAGCAGAGGGCCCTGTGTTTCTGTGGGATCTGTCAAAATCAGGTTTTATTTAAGACACCTAATAAGAAGAGTGCCCACAATAATTAGTTTATGATGTACCCAGGACCCTTTGGGTTAGTAGGAGCTGTGTTTGGGATTTCTCTTGTTTATCTGCTCTTCTCTTTTCTCACCAGAGAGGCTGGGATAGCTACATGGTCTATTTGTTTGATAAAAGCAAAACTGTCTATGATGGACCCTTTGCTTCTCGGAGTCTATCTGACTGCGTAAATTACATTGGTAAGTATGCTGGAGGGCAGCTGGGAACTGAAAGCACTACTTCTCGTGTAATATGAATGTAGATTTCCCTGACAAATTTCTGTGTGTTATCCTGAAGGGCACTGTCTAATTCAAAGAGAACCATTTAAGAAACTGGAGCAGCCTGACAAAGTTTCATCTACAGTGCCGTATCTCCACATTTAGTAGGTGTAACAGTTCAGAGAATTTACTGCCCGCCCTTTGGAAACTCTCCTATAGAACAAGTTAAGAATTCATGTAAGGTTTTTGCCCTTGTATTAAATTCTGTGTACTGAACAGCATCTACCCCACCTAAACCTAAGCATTGCCCCCCTTAAACAGAACCATGATGTGAGTGAAGGCTTGGGAGGAAATACATGCCACCTCATCTTGTAGCCTAGAGAGGGAAACTTTTGGTCGGTGGCTGCCTGCAACATCCTGGAAGGAAAATTCTGACTTGAGGGCTGTGATTTCATTTGCACAGCCTTGTGCTCTGCTAAAGGGTCTTGTTCTTCACACCCACAGAGTGTTGCAATGACATTGTGCTGGGAGCTGTTCACAGAACTTGAGTAGTAGCCCACATAGATATCCTTTGATAGTACCAAGGGACAGGGTCCTTCTTATCTTAGGGTTTCGCGTCTGAAGAAGTTGTGCATGCATCCCATCTTCTCCTCCTCCCTTCCTGGGAGGTACAAACAGGTTTCAGCCCTCTGCAGCCCTGTCTCCCGAGATTGGGTGCTTTGGATGCTCATGAGCAGTTGCCCTCCTACAGCTCTCCTAGATTTATAGTTCTGAAGCCTATATTAGCATCCTGAGGATACAGACTACCTTTTGCCCTGTACTATCTGTTATAGCTGCATTTCAGCTGTGATATGTCTCTTGTGTCTCAGTGAAAGAACAGGTCCCTTGTTCTATGCTGCTGATAATTCAGGCCCGGTATGAGGAAATCCACCTTGCTCTGACCACGGAGCTGAGACAGTGTGTTTGGCCATGTTGCACCAGTTGCAGAACTGCCATTCCCCTGGGGAGGTTATGAGTTAGGGCTGGTCTTCAGAGACACTGGAGAGAGGATAAAAGCCTGCACTCTTGTACTGTCTTCCCCATGGTTTTTGGCTCTTGGGTGACCATAGTGCTGATCCTACTTCTGACCTCACCAAGCAGAGCCAAACATCTGAGAAAGTCCAGGGCCTTCCTTCTTCTTGAGTGTTAGGAGTAGAGCCTGGCTATTGCTGCTTGTTTCTGGTGCTGCTGCCTGGCCCTGGCACCATCAGCAGACTTTTAGACCACACATGAAAGCTGCTTTTCTGCTTACAGCTTCCCTTACCTGGCTCCTGAAATGACAGCAGTTATGTGCTGTAAGTTAGATATATATACCCAATATACCTGTAGGAAGGACCTTGTATACATCTAGGAAAGAAAAAAATAGTGTCAAGGGACAGGAGACATCTACTGGGATGCTGCATGTAAAGGAAATGCCTTGTGACATACAGTTACCATTAAGTAGGTTAATTTTCTGTGGCCTGGCTCTGCAGAAGTTGTGGCGGTTTTCCCTATCTCCTTTCACTGTCACTCAGGTTTATCCTGGTTGTTCTCTTCTGTGTTCTGGGCTATTTTATTCTAGTGGATCTCATTGCATGGCATTGTTGTGATAAGTCTCTTTGGAGCTAAGGCTTTTTACAACATGTTTATTGATATCCCAGTGCACTTGACAGTTCCCTGTCTCTGTAGGGGAACACACATAGGTCCCACATCCTTTCTCCTTAAACTTCTACATCAGGAATCTGGGAGGAATCATACAAAAGATTTGAAGATGTCAGATGAAACACATGTCAGGACAGTGGCCAGTATCAATTGATTAAATAGAGCAATTAGATTTGCTTTGCTAGCTTGAGCAAGTGCTTTCGATAGAGCTTTTGGATAAAACCACCCATGGGTCCTGTCTTGTGCCTTGTTTCATGCAGTGTGCCCCATGACTGCTCGTGCCAACAGGCCAAAGTTCACAAAGAAATCGTTACTCTCGTAGCTATGAGTTCCAATGTGAGCTGTTGCCTGGCCAGCAGCAAGCTCTCAAATACCTGGGGAATCATAATATCAAAAGCTTATACAGGCTTAGGCAGCATCACATAAAAGTTGAGATCTTATGTGGCTTGATCCCTTAGTTTAGACACCTGAAGCAGGAATTAGGGATGTTTTAGAAAAGCACTGAAGTCCTTTTCTAGAGTTGTCCTTTCATTTGTGTACAATTGTGTTTTTTCTTGCATTCAGTACAGGATAGTAAAATCCAACTGCCAGTTCCTCAGCTGCGCAAGGTATGGGCAGAAGCACTGCACTATGTGATTGGGCTAAAAGAAGATTATAGCAGGCTTTTCCAGGGCCAGAGAGCTGCCATGTAAGTTATTACTCCTCACTCCAGAATAATATGCGAGTACAGAGGCTGTTTGCATGTACATCTTGGGGAGTTTTGGTTACTCAAAGTTGGACAGCCCTCTCCTGTTCTATACTGGGAGCTTGTTCCACTCCAGGAATTTTACTGTGTAGTGTCTGATGTTGATAATAACTGAAAAAAATTGAACCTTGAATGTAGTCATGGACTCACAGTGGTTGAAGTTGGTGGGGACCTCTGGAGTCACCTAGTCCAACCCCCCTGCTCAAGCAGTGTCACGTAGAGCTGGTTGCCCAGGACCATGTCCAGATGGCTTTTAAATATCTCCAAGGACAGGGACGCTACAACCTCTCTGGGCAATGTGTGCCAGTGCTTGACCACCCTCACAGTAAAAAAGGGTTTTCTGATGTTCAGAGGAAACCTCCTGTGTTTCAACCTCCTGTCACTGGGCACCCCTGAAAAGAGCCTGGCTCTGTCCTCTATGCATCCTCCCCTTGAGTATCTGTACGCTTTGATCCCCACTCAGCCTTCTCTTCTTCATACTGAACAGTCCCAGCTCTCTCAGCCTGTCCTCATAGGAGAGATGTTCCAGTCCCTTAACAAGCTTCATGTCCCTTTGTTGACCTCTCTCTGGTACATCCATGTCTCTGATGTACAGGGGAGCCCAGAACAGGGCCCAGGTTTGGCCCCACCCATGCTGAATAGCGGGAAAGGGTCATCTTCCTTTGACCTGCTGGCAACATTCCTCCTGATGCAGCCCTCGTTTCACAAGTGGCAGAATGAGTGGAACCGTTTGTTGTATTTGTAGGGTTTTGTCCTGTGATTGAATCACAGAACAGGCAGTGTCGCATATCTCAAGGGTTAACAAAGGTGCCAGCATTCACCAGGGGCAACATGCACTACAGGACCCTGTAAATGCTAAGAAATAACTGCAAAGACGGTTTAACTGAACTTAACAAAAAAACTGGGAAATGAGTAAGGAGTTTCTCTTTTGCTTGCTGAGGACCTGGAGCTTCTGAGGTCATGAGATGGAGTCCACGACGCCACTGAGACTCCCTGATCTTATAAAATCTTTTGCTAGGTTTGCGTTTCCTTCAGGTAATGTGACAGCACTGGCCACATAAGTCCAGATACGCTTTCCAACTAACACGTGCTGTTCTTGTTTCATTTGTTAGGCTTAGTCTTCTTCGGTATAATGCCAACCTAATCAAAATGAAAAACAATATGGTGTCAGCATCTCAGCAACTGAAAGCAAAGCTGGAATTCTTTCATCAAAGCATTCGCCTTGACCTGGAGAGATACAGTGACCAGATGGCTTATGGCATATGTATGTATTGAATAATACTTGCCTGGGTGTCTTGTCTGATCCTATAAAGGATAAAGACTGACTATGAAGGACTGTGGGTAAGAACTAGCATTAAAAGAAAATGAATGCAGGAGCTGCCATTGTGTTCCTCAGCATCTTTCTGGATATGTTGTAGCTGGGGTAGATGCAGGAGAAGAGTTGGTCAGAAGGAAAGGCAGAAAATAAAGGCATAAAAAATAAAATGGTTTTGGAGACCTTCAGTGACAGTGAATAAGGTGGCCACCTGTTCCCCACTGAGAACACCAAGCTAAGAAAATTGGAGTATTAAGAGTACTGGTGATGTAAATATCTGCTAATTATTCATTCAGAGTCTGATTCATTTGGAGTTGTCACTGGGTATAAAGCGGAGGGCAGAGTTGCCATGGTTGATGTACAATGGAAGGGCTGCTAACCACCCACGGCAGAACGAACGGGCATGGTGACTGTAGAAACATCATTTTGAACAGCACTAAGGGAGTGATCTTGGTGTGCTGGATACCAGGAGGTAGCATGAGTCAGGATGAGAGATGAGGTCAAAAAGCACCAGCTGCAGTTTTAATGTCACAGAAACACTGGATCTTACAAATACTATTCAGGGGAGATTAGTAAGATTTATGCATAGTTTGGATATATGGCTGAAAACTGAAACTTGAGTCAGAAATTATGACTGGGCTGAAGGATGATGATGGAAAATGGAAAGACCAAGTGAACTGGGTTGGGGCAGTCTGTGTTTAATCAAAAGTGGCAGTTGTTGAGCTTAGCGATGGAGTTTAAAGACTTCAACTCATTTGAGGTCAGTGACTGCAAACAGTGAAATCCAACCGAATGGTTTGTATGTGAGTGAAGGCTGAGCATGGAGTTGGTAAGTTGCAATTTTGCTGTCTCTCTGCAAACTCTGGGTCGTGACTCCTGCTTTGAGATTCAGCATCATGCTCTTTGTGTTCAAATTCAACTCATGTATGTAAAGTTCAGGTCATGCTTTTATTTTTGTGCCTATATCTTTTTATAAATTAACAACTCTCTTCTCTTAAGCTTCAGAAAAGATGCTCAAAGCCTGGAAGGAGATGGAAGAGAAGGCCTCTCTGTGTGCACAGGTAGGGGATATTAAAGAAGCTGCATTATCTCTGTGTAAAGGAAATCATGACAGGAATTTAAAAGTGTCGTATGTGCCACTACTTGGTCCCTTCAGTGTGTTTCATGTCCTGTCTGCTGTGGAAATGATAATACCAGGTGTATTAGAAAAGAAAGTTTCCAGTCACCAGGTTGTTTGAATCTAGTGATTTGAACAAAAGTAACAAAAACGTCACTGGTCTCAGCTGTCTATATAAGAAAGTAGGCTACAGAGACATGTTATTTATTGCCCAAAATAAATAGTGTTGCTAAAGACAAGAGTCTTCCTGGTTGGATTTATTGCACACAAAAATTTCCATTGCTAAAGCTGAAAATAACACCAATCACTTAATATGCAGTAATTTCAAAATTACCATGCTTCACTCAGGAGTACAGATGTAAATTTCTGGTATTCTGCAAGTAAATATAGAAATTAATTTTTAATAAGTCATCTTTAAGAAATATAGAGCAGAGCTAGTTCCAGTTCTTACTCTGAATAGTCCTAATAGTTAAGGAGTTAGATGTTTTCAGTTGTGGTTTATGGACAGTTGAGCTAACACAATGGCTTTCTGTTTCTCAGAGAGTTAGTTCTGTGAGAAAGGCTAGTTGAAATTTATCTATTGCTTAGAATTCTGATCTCTGTTTTCTGGGAATGAGCATTTTAATTTTTCCTCCACTGAAAACAGTGAGGAGACGAGGCCTTTTTGACAGAGAGTAATTCTGCCTGTAGTTCTCTCCAGACCTTTATAGGGAAGGAGTAAGCTTTTTAGCTGTGAAAACTAGGGTCAGAGTTAGGATGACTGTAGTTTATTGTGAAAGGCCTTTTTTTTTTTCCTTCTCTTCTACTGGATGTACTGAATAAAGCTTGGGAGCTTTTCAGAGAGGAGGATTCAGAAGTGGGGGCATTCAGAAGGAATGCAAGGAGAAATCAGCACATTTGTAATGTGCTTTTCTGGGTAGAGATTTTTAAAATATCTCCAAAAGTATTCTCCTTACTGTGCTCTGTGATAGTAGGTAGCTGCAGGAGTGCCAAGAACATTGCATGTTTTGCTGCCCAGGACTGTCATGTGGTTTGCTGGGCTGATGTCTCACATTTCTGCTCTCCTTGTATTGGTTCTCAATGTAATACAGAGCACAGTGATTAATACATAAAAGTCCCAGACGCCATTAGAAACACAAACAATAAATTACATTGCCTATTTTTTTTTCACCTATGAAGGAGCAGACTGGGTAGTTCAGTTCTGGGAACCATAACTGATCTTCGTCTAAGTCAAAGGTTCTTGGAGCTTTGATTCTGCTTGCTCATGTGATGGAGACAGGGGAATTGGGATTCTCACTGGAATTCACCTCTGGTTAGCTTTTCAGTTTAAATTAGCTCTCCCTGTTAGGAAGCAACAAGGATACAAGGAAGGCTGCTTCTAGCAGAATAACTCAAAGCTGTAACTGGCTGTTTCTGGAAAACCAGGAACCTCAAAAAAATATTTACTTTGCAGACGATCAGAACTATGTTCTGTCTTCACACTGTGCAGTCCACATGCGTAGTCCTGCTGTGTCCATTTACCAGGAACGGAAAATGTTTTACTCTGTAATACACAGTAGTGTCGCTGTCTTGCGGGCAGCTCAACTCCTGTGAATTCAAGAGACATAGTTATGCTGTGTGGTGAGTCACAGTGCTCCGGATAAAGACCCTTCTTTTGATAACAGGGTTTGCTTCACATTTTTTTCACAATCTGATCCTTCTCTGATTGTGTGGCTTCTCGCTTCTTCTTGTTCTTGGTTTATTCTTCACCTGCAAGACCTTTCTGGTCAAGGGGTCACATCCCATTTATATAGCCTCATACCAAGTACTTCGGCAGCTTCAGCAAGGGGTACGTTCTGGAAAATGTTCCGTTTGCAGGTCCTACAGCCCCAGGTCAGAAAGGAAAAGCTGAAATATCTCAAAATACTTTCTCAGGAAGGCAGATCAGTGCCCACAGTCCATGGCACTGAGACCCATCATGGTGACCAGTGCTTTCTTTACCATTCTGGGGATCTCCAGTGCATGTCTGGCATCACTCCTCACGCTCAGAAATTTTGTTGTTGGCTGCCTCACCTAACTTAACTGTGGGGGCTTGGCATGAGATTGATATCTTTTATATTGCTTTGAGGAAGATGTGAAATACCAGAGAAATGTCAGATGAAAATGTAAATGTGAAAGCACCCTCTGTCCATACTGTGAGAGTAGGACAAAAAGTCTTCACTTCTGGAATGTACGTAGAGCCAGTGTGTGTGTGTGTGCAGTGTGCATCTCAAAGAGAGATAATTTATGAAGAAACTGATTTTTCTCATCCAGTGTGGTTGTCAGAGATTTGGATCTAGGTGATGCCACAGACTGAGAAGGTAACAACAGTATTATTGTAGCAGCAGTCATGTCAAAGAGAGTTAGCCCAAGATACAAAGAAGTATTCTGGGGACTTTTATCTACTATATTGCTCTCCTCCTTCAGTTTGTACTTATATTTTGCCACTAGGCTGAAGATATTGGATATCTGGATGAGCAGATCATGGCTCTGCACACAGAGATTGTGGAGCTTCAGAAGAGTCCGTACGCAAGGCGCCAAGGAGAGGTCATGGAGAGCTTGTAAGTCCTTTGCTTATTACTTTTATTGCATGTAAATGGATTGTGTGTATTTCAGTGTCTGAGGGTTGTTTTTTTTCTCTGTTGGTAGTTCCATCAGCACTTTCAAAATGCACTCTTCGCTTTTTGCAAACTGCAAGTACAGGGTAGTTTGCAATCGGTTTAAGATAATTTTGCCGGTAAAAGGGAAGATCCCATGACTTGTGGCTGTATGTTCCTCATTCCTCTTAAGTTCTAACAATCACTTGGCAGCATTATAAGTAAGAACAGGTCGCTGCTCTAGCTGAAAGCTAGCTGTGCAAGAAAGATTAACATTCAGTTGCAGGAGTAAACTCATCTAACTCACCTAACTTACCCTGCAGCTGCATGATGACTAGGCCTGGGTAAAGAGGACACAGCTAGGGAGGACAGGGTGCTCCTTTGTCATTGGCTATGAAATTTCATCTTAGAAGAGGATGGGCTAAGATATATCGTGGTCTCAACTGAAAAATGCAGAGGATTTCTTTTTGCATTGTAGAAAGTGAATTTTATAGTGTTGAATGAGAAAATTATAAGATCATTGTAAAATCCTGATAAATACTTCAATGTCTTTTCAAAGCAAGGATAGTTAACAACTTGTGCATACTTGAATATTTGGAAACTTGAATTTTTTCTAAGTATTAAAATATGAAAGAGCTAAGTGGTATTACTGATCTTCAGAAGACATAGGAAGCAATTATTGTAGTTTGGGCTGTTGCTGAGAGCACAAGTGGCAATTATAAAAGAGAAGGATCAAATAGCCACAAAAATCAAATAGCCACTAAATCTCCTGTTAATAAGAGCTCTTCTGAATGTCTCTGAGTATTCAGGGAGGAAATGTGCCTGTTCCTGGTGTGTTCTCCTCTCTCCCTTTTTGCAGAGATGAGCTAAGTTGCTTTTCATCCACATGTACTTGCAGGAGTTAGTCGAAGGCTTTATGTACACAGCCACCAGACACACATAGATCCTGGGTGATGTCTCAAATTTTCCTGACAGTGCTGGATGCTAATGTTCTGTTTTTCCCAGTGCAGCAGGAGTAAAGAGCACCTCTCCCCCTATTCTTGTCTGATGCAGGAGTTTCAAGGTGGATAATTATCCAGCATGTGAGAAATGCTGACTTACATATGCAGGAGCAGCTTGCATGATCTCTTGAAACAGTATCAGGGTGATCTAAGGGCCCCTGAGGGGAAGAAGAGGCCTGGTGAGGGCCCAAAAGCAGGGTTAGAGCTGGCTGAACTGCTGCTTTAGAACAGTGAAGATTTGTTCAAGGGCAGAAGATTCAGTATTTGGCTGCTTTTGAAATAGTTGAAAGAAGTAACTTTTCTTTAATGGGAAGAAGAGGAAACACTGTCCTCGTGTTTGTGATGCAGCTGTCTCTGTTTGCAGATAATCACTGTAAAATTCAGACAAAAAATGCAGAACAGGAATAAGATTTATTCAGGCAGTTGTGCACAAGTCCCTATAGTTACAAAAATGAAGTTTCACAAATAAGGATGCCACAGACAGAGAACAAAGCTGAGCCATGTGAAAATCTGAAACTGAAAATAACCTCCACTTGGTATGGTTATCTGAGAGAAAAATGCATAATCAGAGGAAAAGAGTGTCAGCTTTTAGGGCAGAGTTTGTTTCCATCATAGAAACACCACCCCTGTGTTCCAAATGTCATACTTGTATACTAGCTCAAGAAGAAGGGGGCAGCTCCGATGTATAAGGGTTCAGCAAGGCATAACCTAATTGTAATGTTTTTTATCCTGAGTCACCTGCTTGTTGATACATATATGAATCCTTTTTTTCTTTTCAAAGGGAACAGAGAGCTATAGACCTGTACAAGCAATTAAAAACAAGACCTCCAGGTACAGAAGAAGATGGTTCAAAGACTGTTACACACTTGTACCCCATGACTAATTTTTCTGAACTCAAACCCAGAAAATACTCTTTAGGAGAGGGCAAATGATTGTATTAAAGTTAACCAGACTCCAGGGCATACCTTAAGATGATTTCTTCTTTTTGCTGAGCAGATTGCTCTCCCAGATTAATGGGTTTGTCTTTTGGTTTTCAGTTTTGCAGCATCTTCCCTGAAAACATGTCAGCCTTCTGGCATTCTCTGCCTTTTTTCCTTCCCGCAGTACTATTGCTTTACTCCCCCCAGACATGGGAAGTACTGCTGTTCCTCTGTCATCGCTCCATCTCAGTGGTGGTTTATTTTCTCCCTCTCCTCCTCTCTCTTAATTATACTGGATGGAGCCCCTTGTTTGGGGACTATTATGTTCTGAACATTGTAACTGCTGAGCAGAAAGATTTAGTTGTGCATTTGGCAACTACGTGCAGTAATACTGAAGCCAGTATCTCAGCAGCAAGAGTGGCTGGAATTGTGCTGCGGAGAGAAGAGACATTAAGAAAAAGCTGTACCTAATGAGAGATTGTGACAGATTTTAAGATGTTTCATTGTGTTTCAGTTTGTTTGACTGCATTTGTTAAGTCATCTTTCCTTGACTCTGGGTATTTGTGTCTGGAGTGGCTCCTCGCTGAAGAGCGTTTTACTAATGTGGTGGTTGATGGCCCTTCCAGATCACGCCTACAGCGACAGCACAGACATGGTGAAGATCATAGTGCAGACAGTACAGAGCCAAGACCGAGTTCTCAAGGAGCTCTTTGGCCACCTCAGGTACTTTTATGTAAAAAAACCAAAACAAAACAAAAACAAAAGCCCAAAAAACATACAACTTGCTGCATTTATAGCAGGACAGCAGAGGGAAAACCATGGAGATTAGAGCCCAAAAGCTCCATCCACAGGTATACATTTCTCATAGCAATATTAATTCTACTCCTTTGTGTCTCTGTTGAATTTCTGCTTACTTTTTAAAACATATAGCTAATAGGGAAGGGGAGGAGAATGCAATGGTTTGTACTGTTAGCATCCAAGTGTTCACTTTAAAATGACACAAATTCTGCCAGTGTTTAGGTTGGGATTAAAATCCCAAGGAAAAAAATAAATTATGTAACAGCTGAGAAGATACCACAGTGATTTGTTCATTCATTCATTAATTCTTCAAGTAGCTCAGAAAAAAATGTCGTAATGCAGGTCTCAGTAGTCAGCAAAGCATGTTTCATTTTCATCTGTGGCTTATGTTTAGTAGATCCCATAAAGTTGTTAGCCATGGTATGGTTGGCCTACTGAGACCAACACAAATCAGAGAAGATTAATTGAATACCATGGTTGAGTTGCTGTGCTGTTCATTGTCATCAGGATCAAGTTTTGCATTTCAAATAAGAGCTTATATTGTGGGTATTAACAGTAGTCTCATCTGCCTGCGGGTCCCTCCAGTCTTGTGGTTTTTGCACCTGCAGCTGCCACAGTGCTGTGCTAAGAGAAAAGGGTGTTCTCCAAGAATTTTTCATGAATCCCAAGGTTAGGCTTTTGGTTTTGCAGAACATATAGCCACACAAGCTGGAAAGTAACTTTTTGTGTTTGGTTTTTATTATAGCAAGCTCTTGGGCTGTAAGCAGAAGATCATTGACTTGCTTCCAAAGATTGAACTGGCTCTAAATGACATCAAGGAAGCTGACAACTCAGTGATGCAGATGCAGGGCAAAAGACAAAGGGAGATATGGCATTTGCTGAAAATCGCTTGCGTAAGTAGCTTTTGGACTGTTTGATTGCTCTTTTTACCAGCACAGGATCCAGGGGACATCAAATGAAATTCTGAAAAGAGCAGCTCAAAACAAATGAAAAAGGGATAACGTCCACGCAGTGATTGATTTTACTGTAGAGGAGGGAAGTTTGAGATGCTGAAAGTTGACACAGGTTTAGAAAGGGGGTAGACAAATTCATGGAAAAGAACCCCTGTAAGAGGAGTCCTTGGTCCCAATAAGTCATTGAGCTGCAAATGGATGATGGTGGGAATAGTAGACATGCCATGTGCCTTGTTCTTATGTTCCCTGAATGTCTAGTGTTGGCTGCTGTTGGATGGCGTACACTGGGATAGGTGAACTTCAGCCTGATGTATTAAACCTGTCATGATTTTAGTGTGGCAAAAGCAAAATAAGGTGCTTTCCTGGTTGGTTTAAGGTGCTTTAAGACTACACTGCTTTTTCTGCATTGGCTGTAGTGACTGTACAGCTGAAGTGTCTCATTTCCACGTGCCTACATTTGAAGTCAGCATAGGAAGCATGTACGCCTTTTTCCTCTCAGGAGGGTTGCTGCTGGGCCTGACTTGCCATTGAGGACATGGCACCACCTTCTAATTCTTCAGTGTAGAAGCCATGTCATGTGCAACATGGGTGGCTGACATGCAGAGACATTTGGTGCCAGCTACTGCAGAACTGCGAAGGGTTGCATCAGCTGACTTGCTAGCCACAGGCACAGCCTTGGATCGTGTGTGTCTATTACAAACAGCTCATACGTTTAACTGCAAGTCTTGCATGCAAAATAATTAAGCCTGACTAAACTCTTCCATTGTTCATCACAGCAGATAGATTTATTTTTTTTCTAGACTCAGAGCTCTTCTCGATCACTGATAAGCTCCAGCCTGGAAGGGACAGCCTCGTCTCCAGCAGCCACGTGGCTCCCACAGAGCTCCTCAGGGAACGTACCTCACCCTCTGTCGTCTATGGCAACTCCCGAAGATGGGTAAGAGCTGTTGGGAAAGGAGGCCACTGCAGAGAAGTCAGGGTAGCCATTTCATACGCATACACTCTGAAATCCTGTCCTCTGCCGCTGGAGTCTCCAGTCTGGCCTGAGGGGTATGTCTTCACCTCATGTGGTGGTTTTTGGATATGCGGGGCAGGGGGAGTTTTGGCACTCTAGACTGTCTCTGAAGGCAACATCATTCAACTCTTGACTAAAGTTTTAGTAACTTACTCTGGCCGTACCACAGAAAAATGCAGCAATGACATTTTGAGCCAAAATGTAGTTTCTTTTCACGCCCAAGTTCTGGTGAAAGTCCCAGATAAATCGGGTCGTATTTAGTGTTTCTAACAGCTTCAGTGATTTTAAAAAGTCTTAATTCAAACAGAGGTCTAAATTCAGGGTCAGTACTAAGCAATCCATCTGGTTCAATATCTGTTTGGGGTTTTTTTTATCCTTAGTAATGCTCTAAAAAAAATCGGGAATTAAGTTGAATTCTTTATTCAGAAACCTCCGCTCTCTGGTCCTGAGCAAGTTCCACATAACACTCTTGGCTAAAGCTTATGATCTCCATCAGCTGGGACTGTGCTATTCATTTCTTCGATGACGTGTTGTTCTGTCTTGGGTTTGGATTCAGTTATTAAGGCCCCTCTCTCTCAGCTAGTCGTAGCTGAGTAACAGAGTAGTCAGGAGCTGAGGGATTTTTCTCTTCACTTCATTAGCAATTTTAGTTCCAGTCAGCATAACAGAAGGGAAGGTGCCTCTCAAAGACTGCTCAGGCCTCGATCCACAGCAGTGCTGGTTTCATGGGGTGTGGGACAGGGGTTGTGAACATCGGCATCAAACTATTTGGCCATCTCTTTCTTTTTGGGTGACCAGGGAAATACCTAGGTTCTGAAGATACAGATTTTCTAAGGCTTTTGCTGGAAGTCAGTTGTTTGGTTTTTTTTCTGTGATCTTGAGCAGCCTTTTCTGCTTCCTCTTTTCTGTTTGCTGCTGCAGGGCAATTTCTGCCTGAGTGATGTGGGGTGATCACCCTTCAGTAGGTGCTTTCCTGAGCAAGGTGCCTTTCTATCACTCAGATTCGAACCACAACTTTACTGTCCAAATTTTGGGCCCCTTGTACTTGGCTTACTTATTAGGTACTGTAAAGGCTGAATTTCAGTATGGTTTGTGCAGTTCCTCTGTAGGGAAGGAAAGGAAATACACACCTCCAGGGTGGGGATCTGCAAGATGCCACCTCAAGGCATGTTTTTGTGCCCTACGAAGTAGCTCCTGCAATTGCAGAGAACTCCTATAAATCTGGGGGAAGTTTTGTTGGTTGGTTTGTTGTTTTGGTTTTTTCCCCAGTGCAGAGCCTTTTGACATTGTGTTTTAAATCTGGCATCTTATGCCTTCTCTTCCTTGCAGGGAAAATTTTGTCCATGTGATAGAAGAGAATCTGCATTATCTTGAACTCTTTAGCAGCATTTTGCAGGAGGTGAGACAGGAGCAGAACAACAGCATGATGGTAAGTCTGTGGATATATCTCTGAGGGCCTGATTTTTAAGAGCCAAGGCAGGGTTCTCTGAGGGTGTGGAGAACTCCTTAAATAGGGTAATTTGTGATATAATGAGAAAAGGACAATTAGGCATGTTGATTGACCTGTTGACAATGGAGAGGAGTCAATACAGCTGCTGTTAGCATGAGATTCTCTCACAAATTTATTGCAGTTCTGTAAAGAAGTCAAAGATCTGCTGATACGCTGTAACTTTGATTTTCAAAAAGCTTCATAAAGGTCTCCTCAGGGATAACTTCCATTCTCAAGGGATAAAAAAGTTGTTTACCAATTGTAACTGCTGAAATAACAAGGAACAGAAGGTTGGGGAAATGGAGGTTGTTGATGAAATGGAGCTCTTACAATTCATAAACATTTTTAGTTCCTCATGTTTATAAATAGTAGTAAACAGTGAACTGAGTTTACTGGAGTTACTAAGTTATTTGGGATTGTGAAATGAAAACTTACTAGTGGGATTTGCAGATGACACTAATAGCAAGGGATTGAGCAACATGAATGGGGAAATGAAATTACCTACTGATTAAGGCAAAGTAATTATGTTAGTGCAGAAAACAGCCTTAATTATACATACCCTGGTCTTCATCCCTTGGTTGATGAATGCTTTGTTTGTTCAGTTCTGACAGAGCTGGTATCAGTGGTGTAATACAATTTTCTGTCTTGTCTCCTTGCTGTGGCTGGAGACAAGCAAGAAGCCATGACAGGCTTCTTACCTGTTAATCATCCATGTCTCTCTCATCTCCTGTATCTTATTCCAAGGTGCAGCATCTGTCTCTGGCATGTCTTAGCCCAGAAAGATTATTCTTTGTTGTGGAATCATGTTCCACAGGTTGGCACCTGTTTTGTTACATTTCGTTTCTCTCCCTTTTCCTTGCATGAGAGGACGGAGCTTAGGCAACAGGAAAGCAGTAGAAAATGGGATTTATCCTCTTCAATTCACTTGGGGAAAAAAAACAGAGGGGGAAAAACAGAATTAATAACTAAAGAACCTTTTCTCTGTTCTTGCATACGTTTCACTTGGAGCCTGCCTTTCTTTTGCATTTGTGTTCTTGCACTACCAGTATGTCCCATGGTGTACTAGGAACCCCGGCAGCAGGCTTTGTGCAGGCACAAGATGTAATTTCCAAAGCACGTACAGCCTGGGACGTGCCTGAGCGCTGGGATTTTCAATCGGGGGCAAACTGGGGTGTGAAACTGTGAGGTTAGAATTGTGAGAAGAAAGAGATCATAGAATCATAGAATGGCCTGGGTTGAAATGGATCTTAAAGATCATGGAGTTCCAACCCCCCTGGTGTGGGCAGGGTTGCCAACCACTAGAGCAGGCTGCCCGGCGCCCCACCCAGCCTGGGCTTGAACCCCTCCAGGGATGGGGCATCCACAGCTTCTCTGGGCAACCTGGGCCACTGCCTCACCACCCCTCTGAGTGAAAAATTTCCACATAATATCCAACCTGATGCTGGATACCGAATGTCCTTTGGTCACCACCCTGGAAGCGCACATTCCGTCGCTATTCCCTGTGCTTCAGGTGTTTCCTTGCTTCTCTTTCAGAGCTGTGACTGGAGCTGGCTGAACTAGCCCCACCAGCTGGCCCTCTGCCCCCTGCCTGCCTGCTGCCAGGGGCTCGGCAGCCTCCCCCTGAGGGCCTGGCGTGGCCTCCATCGCTCCCCTCGCGCTCTGCAAACCACA